GTGTTACACTGAATGACCATGGTTTGTTACTCTGAATGACGATTTGCCAAAAAGAGAGATAACATTGCCATTGTTCCCATAACTGAAATATTTCTAGTATTAATCTGTGTCATTAAATTAGTTCTGTCAGGACCACTATCGTCAAAATGATAGATACTTAGCATAAAGTTTGGTTTGGCGGTATGGTTCTGTTCTGGGCAAAAAACCTCCCTGCCCATCCATGCAGCTTGTCATGAATGAGCAGGGAGAGCAACAATAATAACCCCCCCAGGGTTAACAGAACAGAACAAGGCAGATATCATTAATGTACTCAATGATATTTAAGTGAAACACTTTATTCAAGATAAAGGAGTCTGATTAGCAAGGAATATCAGAAAGCTAAGTCCTGACTGTGGCGAAAGGTGGAGCTGGGGATGGAGGAGGGTAATTTGCTCCGAAGCAAGCTGAAAAGCTGCTGAATAATACTGAATACAGCTTATATAGGAATGCCGCGATAGGTGTCGTATTCCTATAGGTAGATGTGATCAGCTGAGAATCAGCTGATGCAAGCTTGACTCACGTGACCTGCCAGAACTAACGCTAAAGCTTAATTTTTAATACTATTCCTGAGTAAATGACTGCAGAAACAGATGTTGAAGTATAATAAGCATTTTCTTGATGCTCCCCTGCCATGCTTGCTTAGCTTGTCACTTTGTTTCTGACTTGCTCAGCCTCAAAAATTCCTGCTTGCAGCCACATTTATTAATACTTTCTGTTTGCAAACATAAATGACATTATCAGGATGAGTATTTGGGGTGGGCCTCAGTGATCTCTCTTGAACTACTGACATACTGTAGTGAGGGGGTCTCTCTGCCCAGAATTATTGGCAAGCTATTATTCCAACAATTACAATCCTCAATACCCTTCTCTTTTCCTGGCTAAACGCACGTTCATACCAAGTACGGTAAGAATAAAGATTTTAAAAATAAATTAAAAAACAATCATGAAAGTGGAAAAAAAAGCAGATTCCACAGCACAACTAACGATAACTGAAGAGAGAAACGATATTGTTGGAATCTCTTTTATATTGTTGGATTTTTTTTTCCAGCTGATGAATGATAAAAGCATTAACAGCCAATTAGAATTCATTCAACTTTAAAGAACTCGATCATTTAAAGTGGCACACAACAAATCTGCAGCACATGTTTAGAATGAACAGTGCTATTGTTCATCAGTGTGGAGGCTAACAGTTACTGTTATAGTTATTGTTCTTGGTGTGAACGGGCTTTAAGAGTGCCACCCAAGCTACTGGGTCCACACTTTTTTGGCTTTTTACAGTGCCAAGTGACTCCCCCTCTGTTCATGGGTGTCTATAATTAATCAATAATCAAATTAAACAATACCAAAATGCATTCAAATATTAATATTTATTAAATTTAACACATATTTGTCAATGCTAAACATTCCTCATTTATCTGTAATATAAATAAGATGGAAAAACTGTTATTTATACAGTTATACTGCCACTCAGTGTAATGAATGACACTGTGGTGTAACAGAGAATTTGCATTACACTAAATGACAACACCATTACCCTGAATGACGAAACTTCTACATCAGCTAATATTTCAGGCAATCAAATGACCACCTATTTCAAACAGTGAACTTGACCAGTAAAGTTAATCGCAATTATTCACAACATCTACTTGTTTTTCAAAATATCTAATATTAAAAGTGTTTTTTGGCATTTCACTGAATGACGTGTGTTTTTGTAACCTATGTTAACACACCATGAAAAGGTGAAATTATCAAGTATTTAAGAGCAATAAACTCACTTTGCTGCAGCACCACACGGTCTTTCAGGAGCCATTTAAGGATGTCACAGACTGCCGAATGACTATCAGTTTTTTATATGATTTCAGAATAACGTCTTATTCCTGTTACACTGAATGATCTCAGTTAAACTGCATTTTCGGGACAAAAGTCCCCTGTCCATTTAAATACTTTAAAAAAAACAACAAGACAGTCCTTTTAATATAACACAACCCATACTTACTTGAAAATGCCAAGACAACAAATATATTTTTTAACTTGGTATTTTATATGTTCATTTAAAGATGTATTAGTAAAATCAAAGTCCAGACCATTACGCTGAATGACAATTTTACTATTTGGAACATTATTTCCTTCATATTTTGACATTTGATTGTAATTATTTAATTTTAATTAATTATTTTTTATTGTCACAAAAGTTATTTGAAATCTGAAAGTAGACAATTCACTTGCATTTAAGATGTTTTTTATGCATTTAAAATGACTTTCGTAAATGTAATTTAATGCGGACACCAAAATGGTGACATCTAGTCTTTGACCTACATACAAATACATACAAAACAAGAATGTTGTGGGTTTTGTTCAGGCATGTAAACCAGCCCGCAGCTGTATGATGCCTTTGTTTTCTCCTTTGCATCTTACAATTTTCTGTTTAGGTTTTCTTTGAATCTCATTTGTTTGGCACAACCAACCAAACAACACAAAAAGCTTTGTGTAATGAGAAATGTATGCTCTGTGGTAGGGCTGCACGACTAATCGAATGCGATTGTCATGCACATTTTGTTAGTAAAGCCGGTTCTGTAATCAGCAGTAAATCATCATCACGTGCTTTCAGATGGAGCAGCATTTACTACACAGAGCCATAGCTCACTGACAAGTTACGCAAAAAAATCGCAGATGATTTTATTGCGCGATTATGAAATCGAACAAATCGTTCGCAATAATGACAGCTGTTTGCATAGCTTCTCAGTGAACTATGGCTCTGTGTAGTAAATGCTGCTCCATCTGAAAGCATGTGAAAATACCACATTTAATAACATATTTTTACTCCAAACTCACTTCATAATGTCAGTCGAGTGTTTGAAATAAATCCTTCTGTGAGATGATGTGGCTTCTTACACAGAATAAGGCACGGAACATATTTCATAGTATTCTAAGCAGTGATAAAGGCTTTGCATTATAAATATACTTTATTTGAATGAAAATAATAATAGTAATAACTCAGATAAACCATATATTGCCATAATCGTGTGTTTATTAGTCACGTTGAATCAATAAAAGCAGTTAAATCTTCTGTTTATCCAGCTACCGCTGTAGGCATTTCCTGGGTTTCTTCTGCGAGGCGTATTTTGAGTTTCAGCGCGAGAGCGCCCTCTGACATTTGGATGGAGATTTACTACTGATCACAGAACCGTGCTTCACTGAAAGATATGCATGACAATCGCAGCTTCTGTCGAATCGCGATTTCGATTCCATTTCGATTTATCGTGCAGCCCTACTCTGTGGTATGTTTTTCTTCAACCATGTAACCTTTAGGTTTTTTTGCTGTATGAAATATTAGGAAGTTGTCTCCAAATGTAAGCATGTGTTTGTTGCACCTTAGCATGTGTTTAATAGTTGCCCCACACAATAACCACATAGACCTAAACACCTATGCCTCATTTGTGCTGGACTGCATCAGCTTCTGTAGGACAATGTCACCACAGAGAGGAAAATTCACACACTGCCCAATCACAAACCATGGATGAATAAAGCTGTGATTAGTCTCTGAACTGAGGGCTCTGAACCACATCAACCCGAGCAAGGCTACTGGGCTAGAAGGTGTACCAGGATGGGTCCTAAAAAAACACTGTGCAGGCAAGCTGACAGCATTATTCACTGACCTGTTTAACACCTCCCTGGAGCAGGCCATTGTTTCAACGTGCCTCAAGTCAGCCACAATCATCCAAGTTCCAAAACAAGAAGGTTTTGATTAAATGTTTTGAGCGACTGGTTTTGTCACACATCAGGAGAAGCATTTCTCCCTCCGAGAATCAACACCAGTTTGCCTATAGAGGAAACAGGTCAACTGAAGAAACTGTGTCACCGGCTCACCACACAGCCCTAACACACATAGGTCAGTGGGACACGTATGTGTAGATGATATTTATTGATTATAGCTCCACCTTCAATACCACCCCCACCAACACCATCTTGGCCTCAATACACACCTGTGTAACTGGGTGCACGACTGCCTCACCGGTAGACCGACTGTGCTCATGAATCCCCCTCCATAATACTGAACACAGGAGCACCGCAGGGCTCTGTGTTGAGCCCCCTTCTCTTCTCACTCTACATGTACAACTGCAAACCCTCTTATGAGACTAATAGCATCAGTAAGTTTGCAGACGACACCATCGTTGTAGGTAGAATAACAACAACAACAAATCAGCCTACAGAGCAGAGGTCAAGAAGTTGGAGAGCTGGAGCTGAAACAACAACCTGATCCTCAACACAACAAAGACAAAGGAGAGGATTTCAGAAGACTGAAATACACGAACCTTGAGACCTCAACCTCCTCTCCCATATTATCTCTTGTGCAATTCTTTATCGTGCAATATTTCATTGTGTATTATTCACAGTGCAATATGACAACTACCTACCTCAGCACTTGTCACTTCCTACTTCACTGCACATCATTTTTACATTTATGTACATCTGTTGTCTTTGTTTGTCTCTCTGTAGTTTTTATGTATTGTACTGTTACATGGTGTACTGTGTGTAATGTATATTATGCATGCATAGTAGCATAGCCATTAGTGTATAAAACTTGTGTATAGAATTGTAATATTGGTGTTTGTGTATTCGTAGGCATCTGGAAGTTGCTTCACCAGAGTTTCAAAGTGCATGCACTATGACGATAAAAAACTTACTTACTGAAGACAAAACCACAGCTGCATGACACAGATGCACAGCAAAGATTCATCCAATATTTGAGACATTTTGTAAAGCAGTTTCTTATTATTCTTAACTTATCCTGTTTCTAAATCACAAAAATCACAAATCATCTAGATCCTAATCTGTCTGTTATTATTTCTTAGTCTCATACCTCATCACTTTACATTTAGAACCATGACTGGTCGGAACAGACATTTTTTTTCATGCATCAAAATTTGTCTTGGTATTAACAGATGATTGAAAAGACTCACCAGGTCCAAAGTTGTTCTCTCCAAAATATCCACCATTTTTTCCAGTTTGGTGCTTGAGGTGAAAATGAAGTCATCATCCACCCAAAGCACATATTTGGTTGCTACCTGAGAGACGGCCAGGTTACGGCCAGCAAACCAGCCCTGTAATGAGAAGTAGACAGCACTTTAAATCTGTTTGTCCTGAAAAGAAAACATAATAGCTCAAATAGCCTTTGCTGAGTTTATATGAATGAATATAAACATAGAACATCCATACCTTGCCAAAGGGCATGATATAATGTTCAATGTAGGGTCCATTTACAGGTTTAGGCTCCTCTGTGTCATCAGCTATCACTATAGTAATAGTGGGGTAGAACTGTCGAATGCTATTGATCAAATCCTGAAGTTTATCATAGCGTAGAAATGTTTTTGTGGCAACTGTGACAAGAGTGCTTATATTGTATTCTGTAAGAAGGATGATATAAAAAATTAGTATGTATTGTAAAATAAAATTGTATTATGAATTAAATATTTATTATATTTGTTTTACCATTTTTGGGTCCGGGATTATAGAATTTAGGCATTGGTGGATGTCTGATCTTAACAGTAAAGGAGGCCTGGAATATACCTGCTTTAAATTGTACTGCCATAGACAAAGGAACAGTGTTATATAATTTAAAAAAGGCACAAAATAGACTGCTGAATATAGAGATAAGCATGTATTACAGCATAAACAAAATCTAAATGAATACCTTCTAGTTATCTAGAAAGTTTTGAAAGTTTTTCTGCATTTTAAAGTCAAAATTGTTATGTCCTGATGATCTTGCCTTAATCATTGTTTGCTTTGGATAGTTGAATCATATAATTATTCAGCTCTATAAATCCCTGTGGATGGCTATATTCTCTGTGTCATTACAACATCATCACAGGATCCTGCTATATGAGATGACAGAGAACATATTCTGGCCAGATAATTGATATTTGACTTGAACAAACCGTTATACAATGCTACTGTACATCACAAAAGGTCATTCGGAAGCCGTTTGCTGCAGTGCTGCAGTTTGTTGTAATTGTAGATGGGGTAGAGAACACATTTCTGATGGCAAACCCATTGTTTACTCAAGTAAATGAGATAATACATTGCTGTTGTTTGCATAACTCAAGCTTCTGCTTTCGTTATACCTAATTGCTGATTTTGAGTTTTGTCACATTAAAGAAAATAGCCACATTGTAAAAGTGATTTATGCTAAAATTGCTTACTTCAAATGAGTTTAAATAACAGTTTCTGAACATTTTGTATACTTAATTTGTGTTCAATCTACTTAAATAAGAACAACTGAAGTTCACTGAAGTCTTTACTCAACCAATGGTGTGAAATCTACCCTAAAAAATTGTTACCTCAATTTTGAGTAGATTCTATAGGTTTGTTTTTACAGTGGGAAAGACTGTGTTCTGGGGTCTCACCTATGTCTGCTGTGTTGGGATGGAACCGTGTGTTTGTGTAGGTAACAAACTCTAGCTGTCTGTTCAGGGAAGCCAGTGATCTGCTTATAAAACTAATATGCATCTCTCCTTCCCCTTTGACTTGCACACCATCCACCAGCGCTGCTGTATTGAATGTTCCCATTGTAGCAATCAGATCTACCTGCAAGTGATATTGTAATAAAAACAGTATGACTTTGCTGTTTTAAAGCAGAAAATTCTTGTTCTTGGATAAAAATTATAGTCTGTCTGTCAATCCTTTAGTGAGGAAAGCTTTCTTTGAATCACATCCCTATTAAAGGGATAGCTCACTCCAAAATAAATAAGATGTCAAGATTTACTTATTTCAAACCTGTATGCTGTATTTCATTCTGTGGAACATAAAAAACAATTAAGAACATAAAGGAACATAAAGAATAATTATTTACAAATCTCAAAATGGCTCTATTCCATTCAACAGCTCATAGTGGCCATAGGCTATCAAAATTAATAAAAAACACTATAAAACCACCACCAAAGTAGTCCAAACAAATGGTGTACTATATTTCAGCTCATTGAAGCTATATGGTAGTTTTATGCGAGAACAGATGTAAAATGTAAGCCATTATTCACTTTCATTCATGGCAATTATTATGCAGCTTATGGCGCATATGGCAGGAATGATGTTATGATGATCGTTCACAAGATATGCAAGCAGGGCCGTAGCTGGGGATGTGGGGCCCCGGTTGAAACCACAATCCAGGAAGGGGGAGAAAGGGGCTTTGGCTGAAATCGTCAGGGGCCTCTGATAGCCATAGAATCATCAACACCTTTCTCCAAGCTAGTGCCGGCCCTGCATACAAAAGCCTATGACCTGAAAATGACCTTTCATGCAGTGTGTAACGCAGCTGTACGTGAATGCAAAGTTGTTTATGTCTCTCAAAAGAAAGAGTTGACTCTGAATCACTTAAACGAGTCGTTTAAAATTTCGAATCCCATTTCCGTGAAGTTCACACATCACATGTTATCACATTTGCAAAATGTCCACCTACTATAGGTTCTGTGTGGACATCCCACGAAAACTTGAATGCCGTAGCTGGTTTGTGTGGATAACATGTCGACAAGTGAAGTGAAGTGAAGTGACATGTGGCCAAGTATGGTGCATATTTTATAGTGCTCTGCATTTATCCCATCCAAAGTGCACACACACAGCAGTGAACACACACACCGTGAACACACACCCGGAGCAGTGGGCAGCCATTTTTTTTTGCTGCGGCGCCCAGGGAGCAGTTGGGGGTTCGGTGCCTTGCTCAAAGGTGGTATTGAAGGTGGGAGAGTGCTGTACATTCACCCCCCCCACCTACAATCCCTGCCGGTACGAGACTCGAACCCGCAACCTTTGGGTTACGAGTCCGACTCTCTAACCATTAGGCCACTACTTCCCCAAGACGGTGTGCTCAGTGTTTTGTCACACACACACCCACACACACATACAGTTTGTATAGGAAAGGGTTAAAGCTTAATGCAGTAAAGAGAAGAGAAATAAGAATATGAAACTATGGTACCATTTGATATTCAGCAGATAAACCAGTGATATCAGCATTAGTTGCCATGGGGACCAGGGGGGCCTGGTGTCGTTGCAGACATCCTGGCACCCAGTTTATTGGGTGAGGGGACTGTGACGATTTGTTAATCTAATGAATAACTGATTTGTTAAATCAAATGAAAAATTGTGTTTTTGATTGGTCCAGATGCTACATTTCTTTCGTCCATGTGATACATGTGCAGATCATGGTGTTCAGATCCTGACACTTCAGCAGGTTTGGGGTTTGGAAGTTGAAATTCTCCAACTTTTGTTTTGTGTGTTTTTTTGTCAAGTAACTGGTATATTATGTTTTCATTGGCTAGGTAGTTTCTTGTGTTGTTGATTTGTGTAGCGCATGGCTTGTTTTTATCATCGGCCGCATGTTTCCGTGTTGTAATGTTTTTTTGTGAATGCTCAGTAGGGGAGAGCTCTTATTGGTAGCATGTTCATCTCATGTTTTGTGTGGGCTATGTGCTCCTCTGTCAGTTGTCTTAACCCAGCACCTTATTTAACTTGGTTTATTTGCCCTACCTGCTCTTCCTTGTTACCCTCCTATTCTGCTCCTATTTATTCTCCCTGTGTTCTCAGTCTTGTGCCAGATTGTTGGTTAAACAAAGCATGTCAACATTTGAGTCCTCAATCATCCCTTACCACAGAACTTGACAGTCTTTTCGTCATGAAATATGTATAAATAATCTTCTGTAGCAAACAGAATACAGGTTTATAAATGACATTAGGATGAGTAAGTTCATTTAGTCAATTACATTTCATTATTGAAGCATGAAGAATAATTCTGTACTTACCAAATAAGGGCCCTTTTTGGATATTTGGTTCAGACCTAAACCTTGAAAACACAATAACAGACTTTATGTGAGATCTTGCCCATGTGCTTTAACTCGTAAAAGATATGGCTTATATGCTTAGCAAAACATTATTGGTCATAATCTTTTATGGTACATCAAAGATTATGTACATTAAAATTAAAAATTTTATTTGTTTCCTGTGGAATGAAAATTAAGTAATGTATTACAATTCAAGACCGATATAATTTTTTCAAAATGCTGACACAAAACCAAATTAAGTCCACATTTCTGATTCTAAATTACACATCAAAAATTTATTTATTTATTTTTGGTGAAACCAAACTGTTATTTAACATTTATCAATCTGTCAGACACATATTCAGCTGTATCATATATATGTGAACAATGTCTCTCGTAAGTTCTCAGTAACATTCTATGATTTCTATCGAGGGGGACCAAACACCCAACCCCTCCGAAACACGATTTCTACCGAGGGGGCCCCCAAAACTCTAAACACACCCCTGCACAGTAAATGGTTCACTCTGATTGGATCAAAAATAAATCAAATTGATCAGTGGTTCTCGAAGACAAGCTAAGAAAATCAGATTTTACATATTAAAACAACTTGACTGTATTTTACCAGGAATTAGAATGATCCTTGTTGGTCTGACTTCCACACCCTGCGTAGGGTACTGAAGAGGGCTGTTGGCTTCAGCTATGATAAGTGAGTCTGCAGTTGTATACGTCCTGAATGGAGAAAACACTACTAATTTAACAGTTAGTTATTTATTCATGTCATTCCAAAACTGTATGACTCTCTTTCCCAGTGGAACAATAAAGATATATTTTATTAGGTTTCCCCAGAATGGGCAATGGCAATTTTTTAGAATGCAGAAATATGGTAAAAATGGTGCATCACCTCTTACGGAAACTGTGATACTCTTTATTTCTGTATTGCTTTGCTTTTTGCATGTCTGAATCCTTTAAGGACACATGTAGCTGGGTAGCTGATACTTGAGGAAACAGCAGTTGAGCGAATGGGAAATTAATGCCTGATTTGTCGCCTTCACAAACACACCCATTATTGGCAAGACTCCTGGTTAAAAGTAAAAAGCATAATTGAAAATGTTCTAAAATCCAGACACACGTCACATCTTTCATTCAGTGTATTACAAAAAAAATGTAAAGTGGAAGAGGTGCCATGATTTGTGAATTATAATGATACATTTCCCTGTTTTAATTTCAAATACTGAGGTTTTTAATTGCCAATGGAACTGAATTACAACATACACTACATTTGAGATGGAAATCTGATGGTGGTAAAAAGCTGCAATAAACTGACCAGGAAGTGGTTTTGTAGCAAAGCTACGCTGGCACACAAATTTCCTGTAGTTCCCTTTCAGTCAGTCACGTTCTATGTTACGTCAGTCGTGACTGACGAATTGGGATCTCGCCCGAGAGCCCAATCACCTTGGAGTGTAAACTAAACAAGCCAATGACAGTTGGTATGCGTGTTTCGCCACGCGCACCCCGCCCCGCAGCGCGGGTATAAAAGGAGAGCGTGTGCAAACGCACATCAGCTTTTCGCTTTGGAGCCGAGCCTTCTCAGGACGAATCTCCACGAGTGTTTGGAAGAAACAGCTGGTGTTGGTGTTACGGCGCGTCAGCGGCGGTTGCCATTCAGTGCTGCTCACCTGCATTCTGCGGTCTCGCCGCGACCTCCCCTGGGCGCTTCAGTGCTCTCGGTCGACGATTCGTTCCTGGAATTCAGAACGGGTAACTCTCACGTTGTCCTGAGACCCCGACCTGGATATGCCTCCTATGCGTGGGATGTGGTTTCCGTAGCATTCCCAACTGGGTACGCTTTCCCAGTGTTATCCAATGTACCACTGTATGGAACAGCAGTGGCGGACACCTCTGCCTAGCCGCTGTCCTATCTTCCGCCCCAGCTGGTGTGGGGGGACTTGCCGGCTTCCGCAGGGCACTGGAGGGGGTCAGCAATAGTGGCGTTTTCCATACGGATCCCAATTCGTCAGTCACGACTGACATAACGTAGAAAGTGACTGATTGAAAGGGAACGTCTCGGTTACTTGTGTAACCCTCGTTCCCTGAAGGAGGGAATGGAGACGTTACGTCCCGTCGCCACAGTTGCTGTACCACCGCTGTACGGCCGGGGCACGTAGTCTCGGCTCCTCAGCGAAAAACTGATGTGCGTTTGCACGCGCTCTCCTTTTATACCCGCGCTGCGGGGCGGGGTGCCCGTGGCGAAACACGCACACCAACTGTCATTGGCTTGTTTAGTTTACACTCGAAGGTGATTGGGCTCTCGGGCAAGATCCCAATTCGTCAGTCACGACTGACATAACGTCTCCATTCCCTCCTTCAGGGAACGAGGGTTACACAAGTAACCAAGACGTTTCTACTCACTTTGACAGGCTCTCTTTGAGATGGTAAGGAATATGGTCATTTTTGCGGTCTATGTTTTGTATCCTTTCCTCCAGTAGCATTTTTAAAGAGTCTGATCCTCGTAGCACATCAATCGTCGTCATCGTGTATGAATTCCAGTGGTAAATGAGCATGGCTGTGAGCGGCAAGACCACCAACAAAACTGCCACTGCTTTCCTTTTTACAGCACACATAATTGCCTGAAGCACAAAAAGACAGAAGAGAGGTATTGGGAATTACCCACCAATTTATACACATTATCATCAGGACACAGTTGACATTAAAGACAGGTATAATAATTCACATGTCTAAGCCCTGCTTTGCATTTATCTTGTATTCTGGTCAGTAAAGAATTCTACATGTCTCAAAGCAGACGATTAAATCCAGCAAACCAACTATAGCGTCAGTTGAAATGCAAAGGAAGGACCTTGTTGATTTCCTTACATTTGTATTCCTCTTCAGTGTTATGAAACTGGAAGCTTAGTCAGATTGAAAGCGGTGTAACATGTCTTTTCAAGCTTAAAATTCAGTGGCTGACAAAATTGAATGGTTTAAGGCAATCCATTTCATCAAATGAAATGAGTTAACTCATAGTTTGCAGAGCACGTATGCATTTGAATGTCTAAAGAATGTCTAAAGATTCCTTAGCCCAGGTAAGACGCCTCTGACGTTGTCTGTGGTTCAGGAGTGGCTTAACAAGAGGAATACGGCAACTGTAGCCAAATTCCTTGACACGTCTGTGTGTGGTGGCTCTTGATGCCTTGACCCCAGCCTCAGTCCATTCCTTGTGAAGTTCACTCAAATTCTTGAATCGATTTTGCTTGACAATCCTAATAAGGCTGCGGTTCTCTCCTGTTATGAGATCCCAGTGCCACTGTTATTTCATTGAAAAATGTAATTAAAAAATATATATTAAATAGATAAATAGATAAAATATATTAAAATAGAAAAAAATCATAATCCTATAAGATTGTGAAGTTAAAGATGAAGTTTGAAGATGAAGTGCAATTGTCCTGACACTTAGAAAACTATTTTAAAAAATCCACAAACACATACTGTATGTGTCACGGTGTGCCTACTGTGAGGAGCGAGGAACAAGAAGAAACAAAGGAACAAGGAACAAGGAAAGAGGAATGAGGAACAAGGAACGAGGAGTGAGGAGAACGCAGGATTAACAGTCTTTATTGACATCACAGTCAATACTTTATTGTCACACTTTGGACACAGGGATTGACGTTCAAAACGGGAGAACTCAAAACAGTAAACACCTTAAATACACAAGACATGAGAGGGGAAGACGAGAAACACCTGGGATCAATAAATATAATAGGAACAGGAAAAAGGAAGGACCAAATATGGGCATGGACATAACCTGGAGCACTGGGGGAGCAAAACATACACAAAACACGGAACAGAGTCTAACAATATGAGGACATCTCATATACTTCTATTTTTATCCTAACCATATAAATACATAAATCGAACCAGAGTTGACCCATTTTTATTTTTTTTTAACCAGTGTGGTCTGCCTCACAAGTGTTCAGGGTTCACTATATTATTGAGGACATTTTTCAGTAGTGTATAGCTAGACCCATACACACACATTTAAATAATGAGTTTTAGAAGCAAATTCAACATTTATCAAATCTGAGGGTGGGTAATGAAAACCTTGTGAAAAGAAGGGAACCTGAAAATTTTTTTTTTTTTTTTATCTGTGACCTCAGCTTGAAAACTTAAAAAAATTGAAATTGAAATAAAATAATAATAACCTAGGCTTATAATACTTATATAATATCATATATGTAAGATAAATCAAAAACTTATGCTTTAAACTAAAATTGACTGCTTATAGGATGAAAATTAATTAATATACACAATTTACCATGCAAAATGCATTTGTGAAGGATGGCAAGTATAAATTAACAATATAGGGATTTTTTTTGGCCCTGTATTCAGACTCCAACATTTGAAATGCATTAAAAATTCAGTGACCTCAGCTTGAAAGATAAAGATCAGGAGGTTGGAAGCTTGTGTCCCAGTATTGTAGACTATGTGGCCTTGGAGCCATGCTTCAAGTGCAAGCCATCACAGTCAATGATTAGAGCTGTAGTCAAGTCCAGCTTTGTCGAGTCCAAGACCAGGACTAGTCGAGACCGAGTCAAGACCGAGTCCAAAGAGATTTGAGTCCAAGTCAAGTCCAAGTCCAGAAGTTTCAAGTCAAAGTCAAGACCGAGTCCAAATGAGAGAAAAAAAGGATCCTCTTCAAGACCACATACTTAACTATTGATAATGTATGTGATGCGAGAGACAGCATATCTCCTATTCAAAGAAAATAATTTTACATTATTATTTGTAATGATTAAAAAGCATGTGCAAAGTAACAACTCTGTAGGACTGGGGTCTCCTAACTAGATCCTGGAGGGCCAATGCCCTGCAGAGTTTAGCTCCAACTGGCCTTAACACACCTATCCTATTATAGCAGACATATCCACTGATTTGCATTGATTTTGGTGACAAGAATCAACCAATCAGCTTCATCCTTTCCCGTAACAAAATTGAAAGCTAAGCCAAGACGGAGAAACAGCTGATCATAGCTGTACAAGGATAGCCATTTTTTAAAAATAAATTTAGTAGCAGAGCTACTGCAAGGGATTTTTAGTGCTGCAAATCCATTTATCCTTTGCTGAAACTTCCGCGTCTTTATGGAGAGCGCAGGTCAGAGTTGCTTAGCAACGGCAGACGCCACAGGAGCGCAAGCATAGAGCGCAGGCTACAGAGGGCTTTGGAAAGAAGCAGAAAGCGGCGCGCCTAGCGTTTTCCACGCGTTTTCAGGCGCGACATGCAAATGTGGTTTTGTTTTGAAGGAGAAAAAAAAGCATATTGCTGGACTCGGTCGAGACCAACGAGAACATTTGGCGAGTCCAATGTCCGAGTGCAAACACCAACGAGTCCGAGACGAGTCCGAGACCATAGAAAAATGCCTCGAGTCTGGACTCGAGTACTACAGCCCTATCAATGCTCGAGTACTACAGCCCTATCAGTGCTCGAGTACTACAGCCCTATCAGTGCTCGAGTACTACAGCCCTATCAGTGCTCGAGTACTACAGCCCTATCAGTGCTCGAGTACTACAGCCCTATCAGTGCTCGAGTACTACAGCCCTATCAGTGCTCGAGTACTACAGCCCTATCAGTGCTCGAGTACTACAGCCCTATCAGTGCTCGAGTACTACAGCCCTATCAGTGCTCGAGTACTACAGCCCTATCAGTGCTCGAGTACTACAGCCCTATCAGTGCTCGAGTACTACAGCCCTATCAGTGCTCGAGTACTACAGCCCTATCAGTGCTCGAGTACTACAGCCCTATCAGTGCTCGAGTACTACAGCCCTATCAGCCTATCAGTACTACAGCCCTATCAGTGCTCGAGTACTACAGCCCTATCAGTGCTCGAGTACTACTGCCCTATCAATGCTTCAATGCTACAGCCCTATCAGTGCTCGAGTACTACAGCCCTATCAGTGCTCGAGTACTACAGCCCTATCAGTGCTCGAGTACTACAGCCCTATCAGTGCTCGAGTACTACAGCCCTATCAGTGCTCGAGTACTACAGCCCTATCAGTGCTCGAGTACTACAGCCCTATCAGTGCTCGAGTACTACAGCCCTATCAGTGCTCGAGTACTACAGCCCTATCAGTGCTCGAGTACTACAGCCCTATCAGTGCTCGAGTACTACAGCCCTATCAGTGCTCGAGTACTACAGCCCTATCAGTGCTCGAGTACTACAGCCCTATCAGTGCTCGAGTACTACAGCCCTATCAGTGCTCGAGTACTACAGCCCTATCAGTGCTCGAGTACTACAGCCCTATCAGTGCTCGAGTACTACAGCCCTATCAGTGCTCGAGTACTACAGCCCTATCAGTGCTCGAGTACTACAGCCCTATCAGTGCTCGAGTACTACAGCCCTATCAGTGCTCGAGTACTACAGCCCTATCAGTGCTCGAGTACTACAGCCCTATCAGTGCTCGAGTACTACAGCCCTATCAGTGCTCGAGTACTACAGCCCTATCAGTGCTCGAGTACTACAGCCCTATCAGTGCTCGAGTACTACAGCCCTATCAGTGCTCGAGTACTACAGCCCTATCAGTGCTCGAGTACTACAGCCCTATCAGTGCTCGAGTACTACAGCCCTATCAGTGCTCGAGTACTACAGCCCTATCAGTGCTCGAGTACTACAGCCCTATCAGTGCTCGAGTACTACAGCCCTATCAGTGCTCGAGTACTACAGCCCTATCAGTGCTCGAGTACTACAGCCCTATCAGTGCTCGAGTACTACAGCCCTATCAGTGCTCGAGTACTACAGCCCTATCAGTGCTCGAGTACTACAGCCCTATCAGTGCTCGAGTACTACAGCCCTATCAGTGCTCGAGTACTACAGCCCTATCAGTGCTCGAGTACTACAGCCCTATCAGTGCTCGAGTACTACAGCCCTATCAGTGCTCGAGTACTACAGCCCTATCAGTGCTCGAGTACTACAGCCCTATCAGTGCTCGAGTACTACAGCCCTATCAGTGCTCGAGTACTACAGCCCTATCAGTGCTCGAGTACTACAGCCCTATCAGTGCTCGAGTACTACAGCCCTATCAGTGCTCGAGTACTACAGCCCTATCAGTGCTCGAGTACTACAGCCCTATCAGTGCTCGAGTACTACAGCCCTATCAGTGCTCGAGTACTACAGCCCTATCAGTGCTCGAGTACTACAGCCCTATCAGTGCTCGAGTACTACAGCCCTATCAGTGCTCGAGTACTACAGCCCTATCAGTGCTCGAGTACTACAGCCCTATCAGTGCTCGAGTACTACAGCCCTATCAGTGCTCGAGTACTACAGCCCTATCAGTGCTCGAGTACTACAGCCCTATCAGTGCTCGAGTACTACAGCCCTATCAGTGCTCGAGTACTACAGCCCTATCAGTGCTCGAGTACTACAGCCCTATCAGTGCTCGAGTACTACAGCCCTATCAGTGCTCGAGTACTACAGCCCTATCAGTGCTCGAGTACTACAGCCCTATCAGTGCTCGAGTACTACAGCCCTATCAGTGCTCGAGTACTACAGCCCTATCAGTGCTCGAGTACTACAGCCCTATCAGTGCTCGAGTACTACAGCCCTATCAGTGCTCGAGTACTACAGCCCTATCAGTGCTCGAGTACTACAGCCCTATCAGTGCTCGAGTACTACAGCCCTATCAGTGCTCGAGTACTACAGCCCTATCAGTGCTCGAGTACTACAGCCCTATCAGTGCTCGAGTACTACAGCCCTATCAGTGCTCGAGTACTACAGCCCTATCAGTGCTCGAGTACTACAGCCCTATCAGTGCTCGAGTACTACAGCCCTATCAGTGCTCGAGTACTACAGCCCTATCAGTGCTCGAGTACTACAGCCCTATCAGTGCTCGAGTACTACAGCCCTATCAGTGCTCGAGTACTACAGCCCTATCAGTGCTCGAGTACTACAGCCCTATCAGTGCTCGAGTACTACAGCCCTATCAGTGCTCGAGTACT